CACACTCACTGACACACTCACTCACTCACACAGACACACACTCACTGACACACTCACTCACACTGACACACACACTCACTCACACAGACACACACACTCACTGACACACTCACTCACACTGACACACACACTCACACACAGACACACACACTCACTCACACAGACACACACACTCACTGACACACTCACTCACACAGACACACACACACTCACACAGACACACTCACTCACACTGACACACACACTCACAGACACACACACTCACTCACACAGACACACACACTCACTGACACACACACTCACACAGACACACTCACACATAAGAACAAATTATTACATTTTAATTAAAAAAAAATGTCCACCCAGCCTCCTACCTGGAGTGCTGGCGTGGACTTGTCCCTGGGGTCCAGTGGGGCGGGCGCCTCTCTCCAGCTCAGCCGCGGCGAGGGAGCTGTGTGATGTTTGCGCTCTGCTTCCTCTCGCCGCGCGGGCTGTCTGCTCGAGCTGGGAGCCGGAATAGGCTTCCGGCATCAGCGTGCGGCGAGAGGAAGCAGAGCGCAGACAGCAGAGAGCTCCCTCGCCGCGGCTGAGCTGGAGAGAGGGGGGGGGGATCGATCACCTCTTGCCCTCCCATGACAGGGGCAAGAGGTGAGACAGGGGGTGCTGAGTGTCTGCAGGAACAGCGTTCCTGCTCAAAAAAGTGCAGGGACGCTGTTCCTGCAGGACTCAAACCATAGGCGTGCCACGGGGATTAGGGTGTGCCCAGGCACACCCGGCACACCCCGTGCGCACGCCTATGCTATCAGAAAACACATACGCTATGCTAATCATGTTATACAGTCTGGGACAGAGGAAAGGTGTATGCAGTGAGTGTAGAAAAAAGGGAACAAGCCACAGTGTTAGAGAACGAAGCAGCAAGAGAATTTGCATAGTGCGCAAAGTCAGCTTTACCTTAACTAATTTAATTGTCAGCAAGCCCACACAAGTTTTGTTTCCCTACAGCCACATGTGAAGAGTAGTAAAAGAAAAAAAATATATATATATATTTTTTTTTTAGCAATGGGCCTATGCCATGGGCATGGGCCTGGAGCTGCAGCTCCATCAGCCCCTATGTTAATCCGGCCCTGCTTATATAGAGACATCTATATTGCCATGTTCAGATTTAATTATTGTTTAAGTAACTCTTACAGACACATTTTTATTATGTGCTATTGCTTTTATTACCCTGATTGATATTATACACAGTTATTTGAGGACACGTCCAACGGGTTGCATATGGTTTTTATCACCGCTGATCTGCACTAAATAGTGTCTGATATATTTTCTATTTTACATGTTTTCACACTTATTAGAAGAATAAGTATTCTCAGAACTAATTCTTCAAGCTAACCCCTTTTTTGTGTTGGTTATAATCATGATCACTGTGTGGATAAATCGCAGTTTTTTGTAGGAGTCTTTGCAGCTATTTAAATTTATTTTCCCTTTTTGAGCGCATGTTCACATTTGTCTTTTAACAATTAATTCCCTTGCAATAACAGCTTTATTATTGAGCTTGATCAGGGCCGGTGCAAGGATTTTTGCTGCCCTAGGCAAAAGTAAAGTTTGACGCCCCCCTCCTCCCCCCCGTGACATCGCAATGCCCCACCCATATGACCTGCCATGTTAACTAACGCTAGTGCTGCAGTGCCGCTGTGTTTACATTAAAAGGCCTGCAGGGACAGGCTATAGACACCAGGACCACTACATTAGGTGCAGTGGTTCTGGGGACTATAGTGTTTCTTTAATGTGAGGTAAATTAGAGATTAGTGCCACGAATAATATACTAGATTACCTACTTACAAGCAGATGAGGGTGATGATGGGCTCTAGCTGCAGTCTGGCTCCACTGGTCTGGTGTATAACAGGATCTCTGGAGGCTGTTTGTAACTGTGGTCACACAAATCAATGTTCTGGGAGAGCGAGAAGCAGCTCCATTTTTTGGGGGCCCTTTACACAGCTCAAGGTCTGGGTCCCAGGGTCCACCTTCATTTTCCACCAATGAGTTTGTTCACAGGGGATGGAGTGTGTAGGGAATGTCCTGATTTGTGTGTAAGGAATGCATTTTGTGAATCTGTGTTTGTATGTGTAAGGGCTGCAAAGTGTGTTTCTGTGTATGTAAGGGATGAAGTGTGTGAGTCTGTAAGGGGTGCATTGAGTGTGTGTAAAGAATGCATTGTGTGTTTCTGTGTGTGCAAGGGATGCATTGTGTGTAAGGGTTGCATTGCGTGTGTGTGTGTAATGCATTGTGTGTGTAATGCATTGTGTGTGTAATGCATTGTGTGTTTTTCTGTGTGCAAGGGGTTCATTGTCTTTGTGTGTAAGGGGTGCATTGTGTGTGATTGTGATTGTGTGTGTGTGTGTGTGATGGATGTCAATCTCTCCCCCCTCCCTTGTCACTCTCTTCTCCCCCCCTCCCTTGTTACTCTCATTCCCCCTCCCTCCCCTGTCACTCCCCTCTCCCTGTCAATTTCTCTCTCCCCGTCAATGTCTCCCCCTCCCTGTTAGTTCCCCCCCCGTTAGTTTCTTCCCCCACCTCCCTGTTAGTTTCTTTCCCCCCTCCCTGTTAGTTTCTTCCCCCCCTGTTAGTTTCTTACCCCCCACCTCCCTGTTAGTTTCTTTCCCCCCACCTCCCTGTTAGTTTCTTTCTCCCCCCTCCCCTG